GAAATTTTACACAAAGACCTCGCTCTCAAGGAGGAAATAACAACCTTCTGGTTAGCTATTTGCTAGACACAGACACAGATAACATTTATTTGCACTTCGTACGTGTTCCAACTGCCAGGGCAGTCTGCACGTACTTATACAATACACAAAAGTCAAAACACTAATTAAACATGAGGTAGCTTTGGTTAATCTCCACAGTACTGAAGGTCTTTTTGGAGAACGTTATTCGAGATGCTGTGACCTACACCGAACACGCGAAGCGAAAGACTGTAACTGCTATGGATGTTTATGCCTTGAAACGCCAAGGTCGTACTCTGTACGGTTTTGGTGGATAAGTTTATAGAATTCATCTTTGTTGATCTAAAAGGCCACCCACACATTCCTAAAAAGAGCTGTTTGCTTGTGAATACAAGTGTAAATGTTGAATGTTTTCTCTTGTAGGTGTAAATTATATGTAAAAGTATTGGAAGGAACACTAGGAGAAGAGACATCTGGTGTTGGGAAACTCCTTCAGTGAAACATTGTAATCTTAAAAAATTGATACAAGCTCTTTGAAAGAAAGTGGCACCATGTGAAACTGTTAAAATGTAAATGTTTGGTCCATTCATGTATCTCGTTTAAGAAAAAGTAGTTCCTTTAAAAATGAACCCGTTTCCAGGAACCGATAATAACAAACTTTATCAAGAGCTCCCTGCTGGCCTGCAACTCTGAAGAGAAACATGAATGGCTAGATTTTTGGGGGGTGGGGGCTATTTATGCTGGTTCTCATTTCACACCGTCTTTTCAATAGCCTCTTTTCCCCTTATTTCTGACATTAAAAGTAATTGCTCTCATATTTTCTAGCCGGTAGGTATTTTCTCCTGTCCCACCCCCCCCCTCCCCTTTACACTGCTAATAGAGGAAAAGTGGAAGGATCTATTGAACACGTTGGGATGTTCTGCTAATCACAATGCAGCCTGGGATGTTTCAATCCATGGCAAAATGGAGACACACATGAAGGCCCACGATTTCTATTGTTCTTTCTCCCACTTCTTGATTATGAATCCCAAGGTTAAGCTTGATGGGAAACCTGTCTAAAGTGGCGGAAAGGTTTTATAAATGAGCAGTATTCACCTCACCTATCAACTCAGGATTTGATTAGCTATGATTTACCCAATAAATTATAATTTTATGAGCTAGTACAATATGCTTTTAGTTAACTGAGCAACTTTTCATAATTAACACATCTGTGTTGCAGATCCTATGTGTAGGCTAATAATGGTAGTCAAATTTACAAAAAATACATTTTAGCCTAGCAACTCCAGAATCATTTGCAACTCATTTTTGGTTAATAAGGTAAATTAAACCTGGCTACTTTGTGCAAAAAGTTTTAAATAACTTGGTAATTAAGCAGCTTAAACTGCTCCACATAGAATTCTGGTTTATGCTTTTATAGAATCCCGGAATGCCAGTAAAAATTTTCAGAAATTATACCCAAATGAAGCAAAACATGAGTGAGAAGGAGAGTTTATATGCATACTCAGTCTCATACTCAGCTCAGCAGAACCAGGCTTTGTTGGAATTTGAATTGGATACCACCAGGTTATTCCAGAATTGTAGAGAACAAAGGCTAGATTGGGAAGTTGAAAACATGTCTCGGAAGATGGAAAACCACATTCATCCTGCCATGGCTTGAGACCATGTACATACCGCAGTTAAATTAGACTCGCCACATAATTATTTAAAAAAAATGGGCGCCAAAATCGTTCATAGCTTTGAATTCTATTTAATGTATTCTGATTGGACAGTTTAATTCCGTATTAGTCATTCATTGGACAAAGGAACAATAAAGTTCGTTTTTTTTAAAAAAAAAAAATCTTTCTCGCTCTTTTCATTCTGGTCGGTCTCTACGCAATATAAGCTGAGAGATTCGCGCGCTGAACAGCATTTCTTTTCCTGTAAGCGAGGTGTTCCGTGCTCGAAAAGAAACATGTCTGGACGTGGAAAAGGCGGAAAAGGGCTCGGAAAAGGGGGCGCGAAGAGACATCGGAAAGTGCTCCGCGATAACATCCAAGGCATTACCAAGCCTGCTATTCGTCGTTTGGCTCGCCGTGGGGGAGTAAAGCGTATTTCTGGTTTGATTTATGAAGAAACTCGGGGCGTGCTGAAGGTTTTTCTGGAAAACGTTATTCGTGATGCCGTGACCTACACCGAGCATGCAAAACGAAAGACCGTGACTGCGATGGACGTCGTTTATGCCCTGAAACGCCAAGGTCGCACACTCTATGGCTTCGGAGGCTAAAAAGTTGAATTAACAGTACAAAACTCAAAGGCCCTTTTCAGGGCCAAGTCTTTCAGAAAAAGTTTTGAGTTGCTTGCTGATTTTGTAACCAGAATTTTGGTATAAACATTTAAATCTTATACAGTGGTGTGAGTGTGTGCTTGCTACCAATTTTCAGGAACTCTATGCCTGCAGGTATTTAAGATTTTCTGAAATAGGTTACTCTTTTTTCTCAATATACTTGTGAGAAACTGATGCCCCAGGTCACCCTGCTGCTTGAGGGCAGGGTTCATGATTTCTGGCTTTGTATCCTGGGGTTTCAACCCATATATCAAATAGGCTCCTTACTATTACTAACATGAAAATATTCATAGCATTGCAGCATTTTAATTCTAAGAACAAATTGTAGTTTTGTGTAAGTAACAAGACAAGCACTATGATGTCAAATAAGTGATTTTGAAAAATGATATTTCTAACTAGTATAACAGTCTTATATTCAAACATTCTGTTGAATTCAATGGGAATTAGTCTGGAATAAAAACTGCAGCCCTAATGCAGTGGGTCTAATTTGGAAAATGTTTAAAAAGTCAATACTGTCTCTTAAAGCTGAACAGTAACAATTCAAAGGATTTCTTTGCATTTTGTTAATTTATGTGGATTGAAGAGTTTGGATTTTGCCTTCACTGGATGACTGATAAAAACGGGGGAAAAAGTCCCAGTCTTTAAAATGTGTCTTGGTGGACTAACATTACAAATGCCAGTTCTGCTACAGAACCAAGTAAGGAATCCTCTTCCTTTGAGAATTACAGTATCCCATTTTGATGAGTTTGGGAGAATATTAAGGCTTGTTTAAGCTTTTCACTTACTGTAATTTGACTGGTGTAGGGCTCATACTTCTCTCCAGGACTAGATTCACCTTTAATCTCTATTTTTATCTGTTTGCTTTGGACTGTTTTTGTAGCAAGGATTTAATAGTTAATTCTTTTAGTGCATTGTTTAAACCCTCACTGCAATAACCTCTTGCTTTCTAAAGAGCCATTGCTAATAAATTGCTAGTCCTTCCTCCACATAGCAGAAAAGGCAAAAGTCTGACCATCTTTCTCCAATCTCCATCACCAAATCTACCAGAATTGGAAGTGAAATTGAAATCCAACATATCCGAAAGGAACTAGACTGGGGAAATTGTGCATGTGCTTGTACATGAAATGTTTTGTAATTTGTTTGTAAACTTTTAAATATCCCTATTTTCAATCTGGGCCAAAATCAGCCATGGAGTATTCAGGAACAATGCATCTTTTGCTGACATTTGCTGAGTACAAAGGAAGATTACTAAATAGTCTACCAGTTTTTATTAGAAAATCAATTGTGATTAGGAAATCAGACACGGCAGTTTGGAGATGTGTTGCAATTAATAAACCTCTAATTTGACCCACTTCCCATATTTTTGAATGCAATCCATATGGAGTGTAGGAATACATGTTTAAAAATAAAATGATTCTTCAAATCCATTCCCATCCTATGTCTCAGAAGGGAGGGGGGGAATGTTTATTGCTTCCTCTATATACTTCGCCTTTCTTTCTTTACCTTTTGATCTGTATACCATTTGCCTTTCTTTACCTTTTGATCTGTATACCCTTTTAACTATTGTTTATGGCTCTTTGTATCCGCTACAATGTGAGTTAGAAACAGGCTGATGTTATTTAACAAGTCAAAAAGGATGACCAAGGGAAGTTTTGAAACGGATGTAATCAAAAGGGTGTGTGTGTGATGTTTTCTGGTTAGGCGAAATGGATAAGATTGTAAACCTTGAAGTCCTTTCAAATTGGGACCAAAGGGGAGGGGAGTGGGGGGGGGGGCGTCGCGCTAGGAGTCTATATAATGCTTTGATTTTGAACAATTGGGTGTGATCTCTAATTTAGATACTTCGTGTTGGAAGTATCTCTTAGAGATCCACCGCACTTTGCAAACTGCTTTTTCTATTTCTGCAGAATAAACTCTTTTTCTTACCAATCCAATTTTGTTAGTGTTTTAATCACGTTTCTAACATGGAGGAAAGAAATGTCACGTTTTAAGAAAATGGCATTAGATTGCAGTCTTAGCGGAAAGAAATTTGAATAAAACTTTGTGTAATATACTGAGTTACTGTGCTTAGGATTTCACAATAGGAAGCAGAGAATACAGAATAATAGAGTAGGAAGGGACCTTGGATTTCAACCCCCTGCTTGAGCAGGAGACTTTTCCAGACATATGGCTGTCCAATCTCTTCTTAAAAACCTCCAGTGATAGAGCACTCACAATTTCTGAAAGAAAGTCATTCCTCTGATTAATTGTTCTCATTGCAGGAAATTTCTCCTTAGTTCTAGGCTGGATCTCTTTCTGATAAGTTCCCATCTGTTACTTCTTGTCCTGGACACAGTATTCCAAATATGGTCTTACCAAAGCTTTACTAATACTCAGTTCGTTCTATTATTGCTAATAAATTACTGAATGGAATAAATTCTGATGACTGCAATTACATACTGGACAGATTACAAGATTTATCATCTCTAGTATATTGCCTGGATGGAGAAGTCATCTCTTAGTATCGATAAACGCGGTCGAGGGGGAGACAGGATGCTTTGAGTCAATTAAAATCACAGAATAGCGATTGGCTGCGGTAGGAGGAAAAGAGACCAATCAGAGCTGTGCTGTTATTGTCCAATCACGGCAGAGCCCGGGAAATTCAAACAGGGTTAACGACTTCACTCTCAGCCAATAAGACGAAGGGACGCTGGCTATAAATACCCACCAGCTCGGCCGCCAAATTCATTCACCCGAACTTTTAGCGAGCGAACTTTCGTTGTTTGGAGGATGGCCAGAACCAAGCAGACGGCTCGGAAGTCCACCGGTGGCAAAGCACCAAGGAAGCAGCTTGCTACTAAAGCAGCTCGCAAGAGCGCTCCCGCCACCGGAGGCGTGAAAAAACCTCACCGTTACCGTCCTGGCACGGTGGCTCTCCGAGAGATCCGGCGCTACCAAAAGTCCACCGAGCTGTTGATTCGTAAACTCCCTTTTCAGCGCTTGGTGCGTGAAATTGCTCAGGACTTCAAGACTGACCTGCGTTTCCAGAGCTCGGCCGTGATGGCCCTTCAGGAGGCCAGCGAGGCTTATTTGGTGGGTCTATTTGAAGATACTAATCTCTGCGCCATCCACGCCAAGCGAGTCACCATCATGCCCAAAGACATCCAGTTGGCTCGCCGTATCCGCGGCGAGAGAGCTTAAATCGTTCGCCTCAGTCGGTGACTTCGTTATACCCCAAAGGCTCTTTTAAGAGCCACCTACGCTTTCACTTTAAAAGAGCCTGGTCATTTATACTATTTCGACTCCTAGCATCCATTTATACATAACGCCCCTGCAGCTTCTTTGGTACTATTACAGTCGTGTCGGGAGCACCGAGGCGCTTTAGCGCGATCGCCCGCTTCAGACTGCTGTGTCGGCTGCACTATATGTCACGGGAGCGGGTCGAATATGAACGAGTCTACCGATCGCCAGCCCTTCCTTCCTGGGCCACCGCACCATGTTCAGCGTGTAAGTGATCCCATTTCTAACCTCGTCTTAAATTCACTACCCTTGTGGCGCTCTCATTGCCCCCCTCCTCAGCGAACGGTCTGGGGGACGATTAGGACAGGGAAAGCCTGAAAAGGAAAACGCTATACGGTTGTACAAGGGAGGTGCTTGACTGAGGTTTAGCATGTCATTTTTAGGGATGCTGGAAGGGTTCTCAGGAACACCTTCAAAGTTCGTCCGTGAAGTCTGCATGACTTCACAAGGGGGTAACTTTGCCCCCAACTGAATTCGTGTCACTCACGGACGTGAGTTTACTCCAGTCGGGAAAACTTTTCTTTTTCACCCACCGAGAATTTTCTCGGAAACCCTAGCTTTCTCAGTGTCTTCGACGAAGACTTCTTCTTGGCCGCCCCCTTCTTGGGCTTGGCCACCTTCGCTTTGGGAGTCTTGGGCTTGGCGGCCTTTGCCTTCGCCTTCACCGCCTTGGCTTTGGCGGGACTCTTGGCTGCCTTTGTCGGCTTGACGGGCTTGGCCTTCTTGGGGCTCTTGGCCACCTTCTTGGCCCCCGCGGCCGGCTTCTTGACGGCCTTCTTGGGGCTCTTCTTGGCGGCGGGCTTCCTGAGCGCCTTCTTGGCGGCGACGGCCGGCTTCTTGCTCTTGGCGGCCGGCTTCTTCTTAGCCGCCTTGTCCTTGCCTTCCTGCTGCTTCTTGTTGAGCTTGAAGGAGCCCGAGGCGCCCGTGCCCTTGGTCTGCACCAGCGTGCCTTTGCCCACCAGGCTCTTCAGCCCCAGCTTGATGCGGCTGTTGTTCTTCTCCACGTCGTAGCCGGCCGCCGCCAGGGCCTTCTTGAGCGCCGCCAGGGACACCCCGTTGCGCTCCTTCGAGGCGGCCACCGCCTTGGTCAGAAGCTCGGTGACGCTGGGCCCGGCAGCCTTGCGCGGCTTGGCGGCGACCGCTGCCTTCTTGGCCGGCGCCTTGACTGCCGGCGCAGCGGCCGCGGGCGCCGTCTCGGACATGGTCTCCTCGGGGCCTCTCGGCTTCCTTGCGTCAGCGGGCGGGCGGCGGGCGCAGAGTCTCCGGGAGCCGAAAAGCAAAGTCTGAAGTGAGGCAAAAGAGCTGCCTGCTATTTATAGGGGCGGAGCTGCGCCCTGATTGGTGCGTTCGCGGGCGCCGCTCTCCGCCAGCCAGACGCGGCTCCGGCGGCTGCAACTTTGTGTTTCTTGGGTGCCCCAAAAGCGTCCCCCGAGTCGCGCCTGGGTGGCGGGGCGCGCCCGGTGCCGGTGGAAACGGGGCGGGGGGAGCCGGCCTTTCGGGCGGTGGCGGCGCCCGGCCGAGGCGAGGCGGCGGGCGGAAGGAAACCGGGCCGAAGCGGAGCGGCTTTCGCCTCCGCGCATCTCCGGCGAGGAAGTGTTTGGTGTTTTCGTGTAAATTCAAGCCTTGTCTTTGGAGTGCGGGGCTGGGGAAGGGGGCCAGGCCGCTCTCGGGGGACTCCGGGGCGGCGTGGGGAGGAAAGTCCCTCTCCCGGACGGGCGTTTGGCTGGAAAAGCCGCTTGAATTATCCCAAGTAACACATTCATTCATTCACTCACTTTGGAGTCGGAGTGAGGCTACTTCGCTGGGAAAACTCTTCCGATTTGGGACTTTTACTTTTATTCGTTCAAGGGAAAAGGCGTTTTTGCCTTCTTTCTTTGACAGTGTCGATCGCCCTGAATGTCCGGTTCCTCAGGCCGGCCGCAGAAGTTTACTTGTCTGTCAGACGCCATGAAGCGTTGTTTCTGACAAGGAGTGGCTCGGGGCAACTTCAAAAGGTTTAAGGTTTTTAAATAGCTCCTTTCCTGCATTTCTCATTCTCCCTGCTGTTGTTTAATGAAAAAATCCTCACTTTAAATCCAAAATTTGGTGGAATGAACAAAGACACGAAGAATATGTTGTGGGTGGCCCCTGGATAAATGTATATTGATTCCTATAAAATTCCAATTGCATAAAATGGAGAAAACTATCACTGGTGTTTAATAAACACTCTGTCTATGTATTTTATTCAAAGTA